TATATATATATACACACACACATATACACACACACACATATATATATATATACATATATGTGTGTGTGTGTATACACACATAAAATTATATATAAAGATATTTATGCATTTATATTTAATGCCAGAGTCAGAGTGCTTGTGCATATGCCAGAGAGAGAAAAACATCCCCCAGTGGAGCCTGATCATGTTGCAATCTCTTTTCTTCCATTTCTCTATAGTATCAAAATCTTGGACACTGGGACCAGCAATTGGTGTAATGGCTATGTTGCTGGACTCCCATGTAGTCTACTGCAGTTTTGAGTCCCAGACCTGGTAGCTTAAACTCACAATGGGCACATGTGCATGCATGCCCAAGATCCTGAGAGGAGAATGGAGGAGAAGGGATTACGGTGTGGCCATCTCCCCTGGGAGGTGATTTCTCGCTTTCATCTCTGTCTTTCTGGAGAGTGTGTCCGCCATATAGCAAAAACCTCTCCAAAGGGGGGAAAAAATCTTGGGCACCAACATGCATATACCTCATGTGTTTTTTAAGGTGTGGGGGCCAGGATCTGAACCACGGTCAGACATGTGAGATTTGGCTCCCATTGCTAGAGTTTAACCACTGCAGTGTGGTGCTGGCCATACAGTTTTCACTCTTTATAGAGATGCTTCAGGGCAACTTTAATCTGTATGTGGATGTGAGTGGGTCACACAAAATTTAGCATACAAAAAACAACAAAAAAAGGATTTTATGTTTTGAGTTCCTAGAAAGCCAAGTGCAATCTTTTGGTGAAGAGTGCCCTAAGGCAGACCTTCTCAAGCTCTAGAATACTGACCTTAGAATGCGAGCACTGAAGAACAGAAAACTTCTGTGTCTTGTTTACCTCTCTATTCTAGGAGGCTGACACAGATCTTGGTGCCTTCAGAGAACAGGCACTCATGAAATAGTTGAGTGAATAAATGGAGCCCATGGGGCTTTGGGATTTGTGAACCCACAGATGGCTTGCAAAATTGTGTATGCACATGCGAATATGCAATATTGTTTAGCAGAGGTTCATACTTTATTCTTACAAAAAGCTGAGAACCACTGCATTTTGCTGTGACAGAGCAGCTCACAAGAGAAATGCTTGGGAGACCACCTACTTCTTTTGGGAACACTGTTACAGAAAAGGTGAACTTTATGAACCCAAATTACCAAGAAGCTTAAACACAGGCCCCCTGTGGAAATGATTACTTTTCAGTGATCATATTAAGGTCATTTTCCTAATAATAACAGTAGCAATGATAACAATGATGATGGTGTTTACATTAACGAGCGCTTATTATGTGCCAAGCATTGTTCTAAGTGCTCTGCTTATATGAATTAATTACCTATCTTGCAGTATCCTAAAGAGTATGTTACTCAATGATTCCTGCTTTACGAATGAGAAAGCCCAAGAAACAGATTAAGTAACTTGTCTAAGGCCATACATCCATCAGTTGGAAGTAGCTGTTTGGTGATACATTGGTTTATACCAACTGAGAAGGGGTGCACATTAGTAGCCTCCAGCGGGTAGAGGCCAGGGATGATGCTAAACATCCTGCAGTGTGTAGGACCCACAACAATGGACCACAAGGGTCAAGACGTTAATAGTGTAGAGGTTGAGAATCCCTGTAATACTGCAAAGCCTTAGGGTGTGTATGCTCATCTGAGAGAGAGAAACAGAGACAGAGACAGAGACAGTAAGAGGAGAAGTGAGAAATCACCCCCTTCCCCAGGGGTAGGAACACACTATAATCCCTCTCCTTCATTCTCCTCCCAGGATCTTGGGCAGGCAGACACATGTGCCTGGCACGAGTTTCAAGCCACTGGATCTGGGACTTAAACCATGGTCAACCACGTGGGAGCCCAGCAACATAACTGCTACACCATCTTCTGGCCCCTATACCAGTCTGTATGGTTGGTTTGCTTAGGTTCCTCATTCTTTGGTGCTCAACTGAAATGTCACTTCCTCAGGGAGGATTTCCCTGACCATCCAATGTTACGGTAGTCTTCCTCCTAATTCCTTAACTATGTATTTCTTTTATAACGATTTTGTCTCTCAGAAATTATTTAATTTGGGACCAGCAGATGGTCTGAGGGTTACTTCACTGGATTCCCATGTAGTTGACTGCAGTTCGAGTCTGGGACTGGTGGCTTAAAACTCACACTGGGCGCGTGTGCGAGCATGCCCAAGATCCCAAGAGGAGAAAGGACAAAGGATTGTTGTGTGGCTGTCCCCTTTGGGGGGTGATTTCTTGCTTTTTGACTGTTTCTCTCTGTCTCTCCACCGAGCACACACACCCTACAGCAAAAAATCTCTCTAAAAAATTTTTTTATTTGTTTACTAGTTCACTGTCTCTACTGATAAAAGTACAAACACCTTGAGACAGGTATTGGACTTGCTCACAGCAGATCTGGAACAGTGCCTGGCACACGGTGAACATCAACAATACTACGGAGGAATAAATGAACCCCAGGTGCTGAAACTAAAAAAGGTCAAGTCTCCACCTTTATTAAGCTAACAGATGATCAGCCTAATCAGATGATAAACAAAGTAGGCGAGCAAACAACAGGTACTCAGGAGAATCCAGGGGGGAAATGAGCAAATTGTGTTTGTGACCTTCTATGTGAAAGATCTGGATGCAGTGCACCTAGAAGCATCGACTCTCATCGGCTAGGGTTCACGGTGACAGAGAAAATTTCGAACCGGTGGGGATAAAAGGCGGGCTGTAATTCAGGCCCGAGAAAGTAGAGGTGTCTCAAGTTGGGCTGCTTTTCAAGCAGGCAGACCTCCAGAGCCTTCTCCAGCCCACAGAGTCGACCCCAGAACCGCAGCCCGTGCTGCAGGCGGTGGGCCAGCCAGCCTCCATCCTCCCCCCAGCCTCCCCCGGGGTACTCACCGCCACGCTCCCCTCCGCTAGCTACCGTTGCTATAGCGCCGACGGCGTGCGGAGCGGCGGACCGAGAGGAGCACGGGAAAAACATGGCCGATCCCATTGCTTCCTGGGAAATGTAGTTCCTGTTGGCTCCAGCCGGTCTGCTGGCTGCGCAGCGCTCTACGGTCGCCCAGCTGTCGGACTCGGGCAATTCTGCTCTAAACCCCGAGGCGTTCTCGGGCGTCGCCGCAGTGCATCTTGGGAGTAGTAGTCCTCTAGGCCCGGAGGGAGAATGGCGTCGGGCGGGAGAGGCGCGCTGAGAAAACTACATGCAGGAGGCGGGGTCCAGGGTGCGGGATCTACGCGGCTCGCGGTGGCGAAGGCGGCTTTAGTGGCAGCATGAAGCGCACCCAGACCGCGGAGGAGCGAGAGCGCGAAGCTAAGGTATGTCGGCCCGCCAAGGGATTGGGGTTCATGGTACTCTGGGAGCTAGCGGCAGGGGCGCGGC